CAACATAACAAAATTGAAAAAAGTGAAGGGGGTCTGAATACTTTCCAAATGCACTGTATGTTAAGTCCAAGTTTGCATCAAGATATATAATTGACATAAATGGTATCATTTGCAATAAAATCTTGTTTTAGCCAATATACCCTCAAATTAATGGATATTAGTCCATTATGTGGTAGTGGAGTGGATGAACAAAAAATTTTGATATCTAAATACACTGAGATGCACTAAACTGGGGGTTTATTGTATTTGGTAAAATCTGATTTTGTTTTGCTGTGTAAATCTGAACTTGATTTTGTGGTTCCGATTTTTATTTTGGGGCAAAACGCTTTTAACTGACTCTTGATATTGCATGTCCTGTCTTTCCCAATAATAAGAACCTGTAAATGAACCTTGATCAAGTCCTATGAAGTATTAAATGCAATTGTTTACTTTCCCTTGCTCCGTAGTGCCTGTACAGTGATAATAGAAACGTTGGCATTACATATTCATTCTGAACTCAGATATTTTTCCAGTGTAGGACAAATTTTATTATTATTATTATTATTATTATTATTATTATTATTATTATTATTATCCTTGACCTTTGATCTTAAAGATCTTTCAGAACCAGTGGATGTTTACAGTGATTGGATAGATGCTTGTGAGGCAGCCAATCAATAACAGGAACCATAGAGGAACTTACTGGAAGTTAAACCATGTTTCTTAATTCAAGGGTGTGGTTATTTGTTTCATAATGCATTGGAGGTACAGCTGAAGTGACTAGGAAATGGTGGTTTTTGTGCTCTTTTTTTCTATCCAGTAACCTATCCTTTTATATGAATATTGTGGAGTTTAGAGACTAAAGACTACCAGAAAAGACCTGCAAGCATGGGAAAGGTCAGTTTTTATTCAGGCTGGTGCTTGGGAAATTTCTCAAGATTGAAGTCTTAGGTTCAGTGCATCAAGTGCTGCTGCTCCACCTTTGTTAATTTATTTTGGGCTTCTACAGAAGGGCTTCCACACCAGCTTCTCTGCCATTCTGTGATAGTTCTTGGAATGTTGTATCCCTTGTGGCCATGTTAAATTTGCAAGTATAGTTAGCAAGAATACATGGAATGTAAGAAAAAATAGCCCTATCTTGGTCCCATCATATAAGCTTTTAGATTTATTTGGTGGAATAATAATCATGAAGACAACCTTTTTCTTAATAAGGTGTCTCCAGTTAGAATGGCAGTGTGTTGCCTCTGTGTTCTGACATGCCAGAAGAAGTTGTGTGCAGGACTCTTCTGTGGCACCGGGCCTGGAATTTTGAGAACTGTATTATTATATAATAAAGTTTAATTCAGAGAAGCAAACCTGCTTGTCTCACTGAGAAATTGTGCCATAATATGACAAATACACATTGGTGTAATATATATAGGAGAATTTTATCAGTATATTGTAATTCCTTTAGTATGGACATTTATTTGACCATTTTACTTTTAGCATAATACCATGTGTGAAATGAGTATACACTCTACTCAGAACATTTCACTCAATTGCTTTTCTAATTGCTTTTTCTTTTTTTAATTCATGAATCCCAGTAACTGCCATTTTTATGACTTTAGAATGAATATGTCCATGCATATAGAAGTGCAGGCAGTGGCTTGATTCTGAATCTGGTATGCAAGGAAGAGAAGCTATTTTGACCTATTCCCAGTTTATCTTCCTTGGTATTGGAATTGATTTAACAGACTTCTGGTATACATTGTTAGGTTATTTTTTCAGATTAAAACCACTATTTTATCAAGTTCTATATCTTAAGTTCTAAATCTGAATTAATTCAGTGCTCTATGAACAACAACTCCCAAGTTCCTTGTATATAATAATGCTTGAAGAAGCACAAGCCCACTCCTTGTTTTTAAACTATTCTGCAAGAATCTTGAATTGAATATTTTTCTTCTTAAAAATGTCATATTGTAAAAGCAGGGGTTCAATGTGTAATTGTGGTTCTGTGACTTGCAAGCTGCTCTTTGGATTGTTAGATACAGCTTTTCCTATTTTTTTACTGTAACTCATAGAACACATAGAATCGTATGGTTGGAAGGGATCTTGAAGGTCTTCTAGTTCAGCCTCTCTCCTAGAGCAGGAATCGTCAGATCATCCTAGATAAATGGTTGTCCAAGCTTTGTTTGAAAACCTGCAGCAATGGAGCACCCAGGAAGCACACTTTCCATTGTTTAATAGCTTTCATGGTCAGGAAATTGCTTCTTATTTCAAGTTTGGTGCTCTCTCTGTAAAGCTTCCACCGATTGGCTCTGGTCCTACCTTCAGGCACTACAGAGAATAAATCTATACATTCTTCCCTATGACATCCCTTCCAGATATTGGAAGACTGTTATCATGTCTCCCCTTAACTTTCTCTTCTTTAGGCTGAACATGCCCAGTGCTTTTAACCATCATATTTACAGGACGCCCAACCATGCAAAAGGATTCTTTGATTCTTTTTTCCTTAATATTCACCCAGATGCTTTGGCAGGGTTTTCAGCCAAAGTGTCACAAGCATCCATATCGGTGTAGTCATTCTTTGTGTATAATACAACACCCGCTTTCTCTTTTGTTGAGTCTGTTTCTTTTGAACAAATTGTATCCTTCCATTACTATAGTCCAATCATGACTTCCATCCCACTAGATTTCAGTAATACCAACAATGTCATGTTTGCACCCCCCTTCCCATGTACTGTGAGTTCTCTGTTTGTTTGCCATGCTCTGTGCATTGGTGTACAGGCACGGGCACCTGAGCCATTTAGGGCTCTTCTTCCAAACAGATTCTTCCCAATCTTTGTAATGTGTGATCTTCCATCTTCCTGTAGCTAGCATAGACCATGGTCCAGGAGTCCACAAAGTTTACTTAACAACATCATCTCTTGAGCCAGTGGTTCACCTCCAGAATCCTCTGTTCCCTTCTCAGGTCATAACATTCATTTGGAAGGATGGATGAAAACATCACCTGTGCTCCAAACTCTAGCTCCTCCTAGTCCCTTTCTAGGCTCCTTCCAGCAGAGTCATTAGTTCCAGCATGAAACAGAAGAAAGAGATAGTAATAAGTTTGATTAGTTAGGTCAGATCTACATCACATCCAGGATCTTTGCATCTGGGAAACCATGCTTCCTTTAAAATTATGTCTGGTTTGCAAGTTGCTGGTTCCATTCCTCTCAGCAGTGAGTTACCCATCACCACCTCCTGCTTTTTCCTCTTTGGGATAGCCATTGGATTCCTTACTTCTGTGAAAGCCTGAGCTTCTCTTGTTCCCTCTCCTGGAATGCTGGGCAAAAACCCTTCTCCAGAAGTGTTCAGGGAGGAGGACTTGAAATTGGGCAGCTCAGCAGCAGGGATTATCTCTTGGCCCTCTGAGCTATATACTGTCAGCCCTTATCCTCTGGGCTCCTTTTTTCTCTGTAGTAGTCTCTTCTTGTGTTCATTTTGCAAACCTCCTTCTGCCTTGTCCAGAAATCTGTTTTCCCTAATACATCTCAATGTGGCCAGATGTGCCTCCAGACCCTCCTCTTTCTCCTCCAGCAACATAGTGAGTTTCTAATTGATACAGATGTAGTTGGAGTCCTCCTCAGGTAGGAACACAAATGTGGCACATACCTTGTAGGTCACCTTGTTCATATCTGTTTGTCTGCCAAAGATTGTGCCACTATTAACAGCTTCTTCCTTCATGCACTCCCTTGACTAGACTCTCGTTGGGGGGGGGGGGGAAGCAAACACAACAAACAAAACAAAAAATGCTGGGCCCCATATGTTGAAGAAAAAGGGGAACAAAAGTGTGTCTGTGTGGAGAAGCTAATTTAGTATTGTATGCCATTAGGTATTCAGGCTCCTAGCTTGAGCTGATGACACAAGTTCAACTTCTCTGTTGTTCACAGTGCTTATTTCCTAGAATATTCCAGGCATGTGCAAATAACCCTGATCTTCCTTTCCTCTTTTGTTTTTCACTTATTAGGTAATTGTTGTTTGTCTTCTGTCAGTATGTATCAGCTCATGTTTATGTTGGGAAAGTTAAGATCAATAGACTATTTCTACTCTGCCAAGAAGCCTGAACCACAACTAACTCTTTTTTTTCAAGTGAATTGTTAATGACAGTACAGTATTTACAAGATTAAATTATTCCTGATGCCCCAAGTAAATAAGCATAATGCTAATTTCTGTCCGAAAGTTCAAAAACAGACTATCATATCACTCACTCCCCAATTTGGGATAATTCCTCTGAGAGTAGAGAGAAAAAAATTATAAACACAGGAAAAAAAACTATGTGGTACCACATCTTGACAACCTAGGTTTGCTAGCTCCAGTCTGAAACCAAATTTGTCTGCATGACTCATGTAATATGGGCATGCATGTGTGTATATGTGTTGTGTACATGTGCCAGAAACCATGCTTCAAAAGCTCAGGGCCAAAACAGAAAATTGAATGTATTGTCTGTAAAATAAGGTCCTCTATTTATATAATTGATCCCCCATCTGCACACACCAACCATTCCCCCCCCCCAAAAAAAACCCATCCCAGGGAAAAGGATAGCTGCATAGAGAAGAAAGAAAAAGTAGAACAATTAATCTTCAAAGACATCCACAGCAGCAATAGCTGCACCTATATACCATTTCTTTGTTTTTATAGTAAGGACATTCTCCAGCTTCAGGCAATTATTGGGGAAGGGGAGGATAATAATAAACTTGTATGCCACCTGACTCCCAACAACTCTGGGGGCTCATAACAAATCCAAACAGGTATTACAATAAAAGGAGAAAAAGAAGATAAAAGATGGCAAGTACAACAGACTGGATCAAATGAAGTGAGGGGTCTCACTCTCCTTTGCCAAAAGCCTGGGCGAAGGGCCAGGTCTTCACAGCTCTTCTAAACAGCAGCAGAGTGGGGGCCATCCAGATCTTGGGGAGAACCTCATTCCAGAGGGCAGGCAGTGCTACAGAGAAGGCGTGCTTCCAGGATCCCAACAGGTGACATTGCTTAATTGAAGGAACCCAGAGTGTGCCAACTTTGCAAGATTGAAACTGCCAGGCAGATACAATGGGAGACAGGTGGTCCCTCAAGTAACCAGGTCCTATGCCATGTATCTTCCCATAGTGTAAATCCAGTACAGTATTGTGAAACGTACATAACACGCTTCCAATGTTTATATGTAATTCTGGAAGGTTTGGAAGTCTTGCTGATTGCTCCAGTACCACCTTATTGCAGAAAAGCCAATTTGGCTGAACCATTATGCTTAGCTTCCTTTGGCTGTCCAAGATTCATTTCACTGGAGGGTTTCAGGTAGACGCTTGTAAATCATCATCTCAGCTCAACCCAGCCCTACAGTCTTGTGAGAGTAACATACCATTTTATGGTATTTCTTGGAAGAAAGCAGAGGTTATAAAAAAATGAACAAAAACACTGAATTATTTGTGAGGAAACTGAATTTTCTGCTCGGATACTAGTTCTAAAAGATACTAGATAATGCAAAGTCTTGCTGAATTTCCTAGGTGATCTATTTTAACATAGGACTGGTTTGATATGTTTAGCTCCTGTCCTTTCTTATGTTTACTAGAGGAAAAAAGATGTATAAATTGCATATAATTTTGGAGGCAATAATTGCCATTTGCTTACCAGATGCACTTTAAGGCATTGTCAGCATCTAGTGAGCCTTGGCTGATCTCAAAAAAGCTAATCAAGGTCAGAATTGGATGGGAAAACATTAGGACCCTAGACTAGACTAGGAGGTGGTGGGAAAACCCAGTTAAATTGAGCTCAATTTGAGGAAATCTGTATTAAGTTTAGAGCTCTAAATGGCTTAGAGCCTAACTATCAGAAGAAATGGCTCTGTCTTTACAAACCTATGTGGCTGTTAGGATTTGCAGGAAAAGCCTTCTGGAAGATGCCTCTACTGTCTGATGTGCATTTTTCTGGCCCAAAAAGCCTTTGTCAGTCTTGCTCTCTGGTTGTCAAATGCACATTTGTATTTGCCCCCCAATCTCAACATTTAGATAATCTCTATGCTTTTAATTTTTTATATTTCATTTTTCAAATTTTCATAGCTGCCTTAAGTAGAAAGGTACTGTCAATTAAATGACCAACTAAATAATAGTTATATGATATAGTATGGCCTAGTTGCTGCAGAACAAAATCTCTCTTCTTGGTAGGGGGTCATTCAGATTTGAATGAAGCATTTCCAGGGAATAGAGGGCAGGGCTAGTCCCATTTCTGGGGAGGAGGGGGCTCATGATAAGGGGGAATTGCCTCATAAATAACACAAAAGCAGACCTGGAACAGGCAAGATATATGCAGCTGACATCCTTGCTATTTGCCTTTTCAAATCAGAAAACATAGGCACTCCTAAAGAAGTCTAGCCAATCTTTCCTCTGCTTCAAGAAAGTCAGTAGCAAACCACTTTCATATTGTAGCCAGAAGAAATATGTCCATGTAGTCATGAGGAGTCCAGCTCAACTCACAGGCATCTTTATCTTTTTATTCTCCATGCTGAGCAAAGTGTGCTCTTCATGGGAAATTAGCCATCCTGGCTTACTCATCAGCTAAAACAATGTGACAAGCAGGGATCGAAAGGGTATAGTAGCCCTGTTTTTCTCCGAGAAGAGGTCCCATCTTAAAGAAATTTACTGAGTTTTCAAATACTGTAGGATCACAGTTAACTGACCCCCCCTAGAAATATGCTAAAAAGTTTCTTCTCTCACTTAGCCTCACTCTAGAGCATACTAGAGCATTCCTGACTCCTTTTTTGTTTGGTGGTTCTTGTTGCTCAATACCCCAAGGTCCCTAACAGATGTGAACGCTAATTGTCCTTGCGTCAGGGATTTTGGATAATTAAGCTGCCCCGGCCAATCATATATACTTATCCATTATTAGCATCATCCTGTTTTTTGTAAAGTGACGGTAAAGTAACCCACCTTATTCTTCATTATTTCGGGAACGACTAAGTAATCTAAGGACCCAGGAGCGTAGAATGGTGTGTTCGTGGCAAATCAGTTGACTGGGCTTGTTTGTTCTGAGAGTCAGACTGAATAAATGGATCTGAGAAACTGGAGTTACCTAATCTCCAAGGCAGTTATTGATACTTTAGAGAGAGTATTCTAGGGCAGCCAAGAGGTCACTCTTTTCTCCAGTGCCTGTACAAACCTTTGGGTTTATATTTTTTAAATGGAAGCTCAGGATGCGTAGAATGGAGCTAAGATTGCTAGTGCTAAACCTTTTTAAATAATCTGTTCATTATCTTGCTTCTTACTGTAAGCTGCCATGTGAATGTATGTATCCACCTTTCCAGTGGATCTTTCTCTGTGCCAGGACCCAAGTCACTTTGGAACTGAATCAACACTTGTTAGGAAGCTAATGATATTACCACACTAACAAAATTGTTATATAAAATAAAATTTTGGAAACACAACCAAAGCAGGGAGATGTCCTCTATTGGCAGTTTATAGGTGCTTTTGTTCCTACATGGGTAGACAACATACTTGACAGTATTTGCTTCACCCTGGAGTTTTGACAGAAGAATCCTCCTCGCTTTTGGTAAAAGATTGTCATGTTAGAGTTTTTGATGCATTTTCCAGTCAGTAAAATGGAAATCCTTGCATGATGGCATTGCTGAACCTACTTAACAGTAGACAGACAAGTGTTTCATGGTTACCTGAAACCATCTGCCTAATCTTCTGCATGAGCCTGGCCTGTGTATGTTATGTAGTGAAATGTGTATAGGGACCGCACCTGTTCACAGGATCACTCTCGGGAATTGCCTTGAATTGCACATCAGCAATGGCAGGGCACACTAAATAGGCTTCTTTTATTTGCAGTTCTGTCCATGAGGTTATATATCAGCTGATTTGGGGATGATTTATCATTATCTGAAAAGTCACTCAGCAGGTTTGCTACAACAAACTCTTAACAGCTGAAATATGATTTCACTTTCACTTTTAAGTCTATGTGTTTTCATTAGAATACTCCCAATTATTCCAAATATGCAAATATAGCATTGTATTTACTGTAAAGCAGAATCTCCTTTGAGTCAAAAGTGACTTGGTGGCTATATGGATACATCCATAGTGATTTTGGCAACAATACAATGATGGTTTTCATTGCCATTTTCCAGATAAATAGAGATAAATACAGATACAAATATATCAACCTCATCTACAGACCTGCTGCATCTGCAAAAATCTAACTGTTCAAATGAGCAGAGACTACCCTCTATATTCAGATTTTATCTTTAGTTTCCAAAGGACTGAAAACTGCTTGGAGATCCACTAAGCTAAGCGGGCTCATGATCTGATATGTGTTATAATAGGAAGGGTTATGGTGGCATCTTCATATTGTTTTGTTTTTAAATAGACATGTCAAAAGTATATGTTAAGGAACATTTAAAATAATGTTTTAAAACCCCTTTTTTTCTCTTCTTTTTATTGTGCCACAGTGAAATGAAGAAGTATTTGTTAGCAGAACATTACAATGAAACATACCTTTTTATGTTTGTTTTTGTTTTGAAGGAGGAGTGCCTTTAGCTGCTCAGCATGCAGAACACCTGCAACTGTAGGGAGGATGTGGATTTTTAGGGAGATAAAAGGCAGGTGCTTTCCTTGACTGTATTAGCTTTTCAGTAGTATATATTTTTGCCATTTTCCCAAATGGTGATTTGGAAAATAAGCAAATATTCCACTAGTTCTAGATAATTAACAAACAACATGGCAATAGAAAAAAACAGTGAAGTCAGCCATTCCTCAACTAAATATACATACAGATGACAAGCACACCGATCCTGAACTACAGGTACAGTGTTTAGAAGATTAATTGAGCAAAAGTGTGATCAGTTAATAGAAAAAATGCTTTAATATGCATAATTACAGATTCATGGGCAGCAAAAAGTGAGAGCCAGTGTGATGTACTGTTCTAGGTGTTAGATTAGGAACACCCTCGCCCACAGAAGCTCACTCAGGTGACTTTGAGCCAGGTTCTCTTTCTCAGCCCAGCTTTTCTCACAGATCTATGTTGTTGTGGGAGAAATTGGAGGAAAGGATACTATGTATGCTTCTTTGAGTTCCTGGGGGAAAGGCAGGGATAGAAATCTAACAAACAAATGTTTCCTTATAGTCTTTTGCCTTTACATAGGAGAAAATACCTCTTTTGAGCAATTTTTTCCAGAACAATTATGATATTATATCTAAATGTATACAAATTGAATTGATTAAAACCTCCATAATTAATCAACTATGATTTATTTCTAATTAAATGATAGTCCTTCTCTAAACCCAGCTAGATGCACAGGCAAGTATCAGTGAATCTTCTACTTCTGTGTGAAGTGTGTATGTGTTAGGCTTCTAACTCACATTTTGAATTGCACAGTATGGGCTTTATGGTAGATGATTTTGTCTTTGTACAAGACACATGATCGTTTACATAAATCAGGAGAAGAATGTTTTAAAAATAAATTAGGTTCCTACATAACCTATGTTTCTGTTAGTTTTACCCAATTAGCCATACCTTTACATTCTTTCTTAGATTGTATGCGAATACACAAATTTCTAATATTTACTGCAAAGTAATATGTGCATGGGGATGAGTGGAATGAATGAGATCAGAGATACTGTAGTGGCATACTGACTAATGAGAGATAAGTAAGGCAAGTACAAAGAAACAGTTGTGTATTGCCAAGACATTCCTATCCATGTAACATAAAAGCAGGTTTATGCAAAATCTGCTTGTTATAGGACTAGACAAAGAATTAAAAAGGGTTAAGCTTTTTGTTTTGCAGGGAAGTTTGTATTGGACAGCTAGCTGTTCAATTTCCAGACAGAGTTTCTGCCTGAAAGTGTAGAAGTTGAAGAGGCTTGGTTTAAATTTGCATCTCCCTTTCTGCCATCCTTTCCAAATGATCTGTCACTGGATATCTACAGCTGTTAAGGTATATAATCTAGTTGTGTTGCCTGGCTGGTGTGTCCAACCTCCTGCAATCACTCCCCACCCATACACATTTTCCACCACAACTTGTTTGTTTTCCAAGGAGTCAGTGGCTGGCTCAGGTTGCCAGTGCTCTTGCACAAACTTTGTGTGTTTTAGGAAAGAGATGTTATTGGAGCCTCTGGCAAAGTTAGCATATGGAGAACTTGCTATTTTATACCTAAGCAGGTCAGAAAACATAGCTTGTCCTGAAGCAACTTCTGTTAATGAGTACAAAATGGAGTGCAGGAGCTAATAATTTACCAGAGAAGTTGTACCTTCATTGCCTGCTTCTGCATTGATCCAAAACAGTAGCAGCACCTGGCACATGGCACTGGGAAATAATGACTGACAGCAGCCAGTTTTTTTGTTTTGTTTTTTTCAATTGAGAAGCCACATTAAGAGGACTCATTCTCTTATTTCTACTTCTCTCAACCTACTGGTTTTATTATTTGACCTTCCATCCTGAGGGTTTTGAGCCATATTAGTGCATGCTCAAAAGCAGTGACAGTAGTTGATAAGTCAAATAAAGCGTGAAAGATATCAAGGTGAAGCTTTAAGGCTCAGTGATGGGGAAGCCTGGCTCTGGCATGGCTTAAGGAGTCTTTAGTGAGCTGGTTAGCAATTTAGGGAACTGTCTGAATCTTCTTATATTCCTGGGTTAAAATAACCACATGACGATGGATCTTTTAAGAAACGCCTTGCAGTGCTGATGTCTCTATTTTATATCTGTCCCACGACTCCTGCTGGCTATTCAGAGTTGTAGAAGTTATGATGACTGTGGTTGTACTGGTCCTCCTCATCTCCAATTATGGGATAGGTGGGTGTGAGACAATACTTGGAGTCATAGACCTGCCGTGGCAGCCCATACACAGTCATGCCTTGCTGTGAGGCCCCTTTGTTGCTGCCCATCTGCAGGGAGATATTCTGGGTGTCGCAGTGCTCCATGCCAAGGGTGGGCTCAAAGATCTGTCGCTTGGTTCCAGGAGCTGTCATGCCCGCCTGAGGTGGGTACAGTAGAGGAAAGGAGGGAAAGAACAGAAAAGTAAAAAGTAGTTACTTGGAGAAAGCTTGCAAAGGATGGAATAATTGATACATGCCCTACACACACACACACACACAAACACATCCCTGCCTGTTAGTATTTAGCATGATTACTAAATCTTCATGTTGAAGAAAATCCAAATATGCCACCCAAAGAAAAAATCTGGTTTTCGTTCTCTCTTCGACTTCTACAATATTTATTTTCTAATATGACAAATCTCAAAATGGAGTAATTTGCTTTCTAGCATACCTCAACAATTTCTTTACTTTATCTTGATCTTTAGAAGCTACAAATGGACATTTTGAGATTAGAAGTACCTAATTTCTGCACTATTAGAGGAAAGAACAAGCTAGGACTTGTTTATGCCAAACTTATCTTGAGATAATGGTCTTTGCCTAGCTTGAACTTGCTTCAGCTTCAGTCCACATGTTTTAGAGACTGGAAGCCAAGCAATCATGTGCTCCCAAGTTAAATGATGATGTACAAACAAACAGGAACAGGAACTCTATCTCTGGAAGAATATGAGGGTTTTTTTTTTAATGAGGCCTGGCAACAAGCTACATAAAAGTGCTCTAGACATAGTTAGCTAGTTTCACACAGCGATACTGTATGTCTGAAATCCTTGAGTCTCTTCCATGCAGCAACTCCAGTGTGGCTACTTTAAGAAGTCAGAGATAGTCCTGTTTGTAACTCTCAAACCAAATGAGTCTCTTCCATGCAGCAACTCCAGTGTGGCTACTTTAAGAAGTCAGAGATAGTCCTGTTTGTAACTCTCAAACCAAATGAGTCTCTTCCATGCAGCAACTCCAGTGTGGCTACTTTAAGAAGTCAGAGATAGGCGCTATGCTCATGTCCATGCATGCTCCAAAGCACCTGTTTGCCTTTGACTCTGAAGCACTTCAGATCCTATAGCCTTAGCCTACATGGCTAAGACATTAGGAATATCTTAGCCATGTAGGCAAGT